ACTGAATAAATGTGATATTTGAGACAAAATTTGACTTACCAGCAGAAAAAGTTTTGAACTGCATTTTGCAGCGCAGACCCCGACTTACCATTTTGACCCCGAAAAAGCCCTTCTTCCGTCGAAGGTGATTTATTTGTTTTACATGATCATTGGTACTGACAGTTTTTGATGTCCAGAAAAAGCGTGTCGTCAATCGAAGACACTGAAGGCAGCAGTACCATTAAGGAAGACTTTGTGTTTCGGAAGACTGAATGCGTTGAAGATGAAATTAAAGACATTGAGGAAGCCTGATGCTCTTGTCTACATTTTTTGTTGTAGGTTTCGTAACCTTGTGTAGTAGTTGTGGTGCTCCGAATCTTATACTTGCTGCTGTCTGTGCATCTCATTTCGATGCAATTGTAAGGCCTGCTCGAGAAGTCTATGTGGTATTTGTTAATAAATTTCATGATAAAAGACTGGGATTCTAGCAGAAAAGTGAGAAGCGGGACCCAAAGAGGCTAAGGGCTCAAGTGAAAAGGGAGGCGTGAGACAAGACACAGGGGACGAAAAAGCTGTTAATAGGGCCGTAGGCCACGTGCTCTAAACGCGATCGGGACATTATGGTGTCTCCCGCAGGTGCTCCGATTTTGTCCGGAATGTTTCCATCGGGACGCCTAATTTTGTCACGCACTTTTGTCCTTGTGTCTCTTTTGTCCCTGTCTTCTCGTTTTGTCGTGCGCGACTCAACCACGAATGTCTGAGGAGGTTAGCAGTTGCCGATGAATCACAAGAACTTCTGTTCGCATTCATTACACCCCAAAGAGCGAAAATGAAGAAAGAAGCGGATACAAAGAAGTGAATTTCAACTATGACAGCGACTAATCCCTGGCATATGAAAGCTGACCTTTTAGGAGAATTTTCGATAACAAGAGGTTTTGTTCTTCTGCAAAGCTATAGAGTTAACCAAAAGTGAAGATAAGTCTGAGGTAGACGAAGTTAGAAGTAGGTTTACGTTTGATCGTGTTAAAAGCAAGTGCATCAGATGTTTCAGAATGGAATTTTCAATGTGTATCTGCACTGATAGCAAGCAAAGAAAGATTTTCTAACCATTCTTTCTTACGAAAGGGAGATTTCGGCTAGGAAGGCGATGGAAGCATTTTGGATATCTGCAAAGAATCCAGAAATGAATAACAAAAACGAGTGCCTGTCAATCACTGCCGATCTCCTTCCTTTCATATCGCTATGCCAGCTATAGACCACATTGCATTTGTATCTGTAGGATGACTCATTCGTCCGCCGCGACCACTCACTTCCGGTGCGGACTTCCACGCATATCGGTAGTCTTCCGGTACGTCATCTTTGCTCTGCACAATTTCTGCCAGCGAAACTGAGGGAAAGCCGTAAACTAGCTCGTTTGGGGGGATGGTTGGTGGTACTGAGTTACAGGTGACACTTTGGACCATTTTCGGGAATCTGAGGAAGACGAAGGCGACGAAACGCTGGGCCGGCTGTGTGGCACAGAAGTAGTTACAAGATACGAACATGCCCAGGTTTTATGAAAACGGAACTGGAAGTTGAGGTTCAGTAATGATAATAAATCAATCATGACCAAAATTGGGACGTATATGTTTTCAAAGTTGTTCTTTTGCATAGCTATAATTGTTCGCAAAACAAAAAAAAAACAAAAAGCACTTTTTTCAAATAACTTTTCAAAATCGGAGGTCAAGTTCAGCAAAATGTTTGGAGTGAATGGTTAGATAACGAGTTCATGCCAAAATCATAAGTTTTTTTTATTTCGGTACTACATCTTATATATAAAGCTGAATGTCTGTTTGTATGTATGTATGTCTGTCTGTCTGTCTGTCTGTCTGTATGTCTGTCTGTACGTATGTTCCGAATAGAAAATTCCATTTCTGAACCGATCCGGACCAAACTTGGTACACATACACTACGGGCCCCGGCGGGTGTCATAGGCTACTTTTCGTCATCGATCGATGTCGATTTTATCGATTTTTATCGATTTTTTTGCTGGGTTCACCTACGGGGCTGGGAGTTGGCACAGGGGGGTAATCGAGCATGGGGATTCCGAATACAATATTGGTTTTCAGGATTATCGATTACTTTTACCGATTTTATCGATTTTTTGCAAAGTTTGACATGCGAGGCTGGGATTTTGCACAGGGGGGTAATCGAGCATGCTGATCACGAACACAATATTAGTTTTCAGGATCGTCCATTACTTTTATCGATTTTATCGATTTTTTTGCAAAGTTTGACCTGCGGGGCTGGGAGTTCGCACAGGGGGGTAATCGAGCATGGGGATTCCGAATACAATATTGGTTTTCAGGATTATCGATTACTTTTATCGATTTTATCGATTTTTTTGCAAAGTTTGAGCTAGGGGGCTGGGAGTTGGCACAGGGGGGTAATCGAGCATGCTGATCATCCCCAAGGGGGGGGGGGGGGTGATCAGCATGCTCGAACACCCCTGTGCCAAATTCCAGCCCCCTAGCTCAAATTTTCAAAAAATCGATAAAATCGATAAAAGTAATGGACGATCTTGAAAACTAATATTGTATTCGTAATCTGCATGCTCGATTACCCTCTGTGCAAACTCCCAGCCCCGCAGGTCAAACTTTGCAAAAAAATCGATAAAATCGATAAAAGTAATGGACGATCCTGAAAACTAATATTGTGTTCGTGATCAGCATGCTCGATTACCCCCCTGTGCAAAATCCCAGCCTCGCATGTCAAAATTTACAAATAATCGATAAAATCAATAAAAGCAATCGATAATTCTGAAAACTAATATTGTATTCGGAATCCCCATGCTCACTTCCCCCCTGTGCCAACTCCTAGCCCTGTAGGTGAACTCTGCCAAAAAATCGATAAAAATCGGTAAAATCGACATCGATCGATAACGAAAAGTGGACTGTGACACCCGCCGGGGCCCGAAGTGTATGTGTGCCAAGTTTGGTCCGGATACGGCGGAGCCGGGTAAGCCAGCTAGTAAATAATATATACTACATCACTGATATCTAATGATATGTGAGATTGAATATCGAGCAACAGGTGCACAGCTCGTATCCAAGAAAACTGTAACTCAGTCCTCCTTGATAGATAGATCTATAGATAATCATAAGGCATCTGCGAATCAGTGGTATTCAACTAGTAATGTCAACTAGTAACTAGCTACATAAGATATGGGCTACAAGCTTTGTGCGCCCGCGGCATTGTGCCCGAAGGAAACCTTTGTGAGGTCATAACCTTGCAACGAGGGAGAGGGGTACCTTAACATAATTACGACAATATGAACCACCGGTGGGCCGTACGTGTTCTGCTTCGGACAATACGACCTACCGATGGGTCGTAAAATTCCTGAAGCTCTAGCTTTGCCAGTATACGATAGAATTCCACGGAGTTCTGGCACATGATTGGGGACACCTTGGCGAAGCTCCAGCCAGAGTGGTCCGGATTCGGGATACTGCAAAGCAATGTTACGGTAGGTGTACCGTAGATAGAGGTAAGGTACAGAGTTTAGCTCATATTCTTCACAGAGTGATGCCGTTTTTGAAAAGTCAAGTTTGCATGCACGAGAAACACAGGGAGGGCACAGTAAAATGATGTGCCCTTCATAATGCTCAGCAACACGTTGAGAGTAGACCGGTTCATTGATCTAACGACAGAAGGCAGTATAGGAACATAAACAATATTAATCTACTGGATCCTGGTAGGTTGCAGAGCTGACGATGATGACGGGGCAAACAGCAGCCCAGGGATATCAGAGGCGCCGCCGGTCGGTTACAGGACGTTGGAGTTTCTCCTCGCACCCCGCGCGTATCGGCCACGCCCTAAAAAGCATGACTCAGTACCGAACTCAATAGGGGTGCTTGTGCTCACAGCACGAGACTGATGTCAGCCCATCAAAAATTATCGATTTTATTGACTCTATTGATTTTTCGCATTGTCCAATCCAGGAAGCTCAAACCTTACATATATAGGTTTTTTAGCATCCTGATTACGAAAATGATAGTCTCAAGTCCTAATACCGCCTTCCTACATCAGTTTCTTGATTCTACGAAAATTCTACCGTACTCTTACCGGGGTAGGGGAACGAAAGCCGCCAGTTTGAGCCGCCTTTCGCGGCTAACTGGTCCTTTCGCGACATTGTTGCATGTCGTTCCAGGACCAGCAGTCCGCACAGGCGACCGAAACTGGCGGCTTTCGTTCCTCCACCCCTCCTACCGTAGTCCCGCTGTGGGAAAGTAGTGAACAAATTGGACACTATAATCGTGATCAGCACGTGAAATACCCCCAAAACACAATTTTACATGGAAATCCATGATATGGGTTGGTGCAGAATGACTACCGTAACCATACCGTATACTGCCAAAAACTGAAACAAATCATATCTTGCTAATCAGCGCCTCCGATAACCCTTGTGGGCAAGTTCTCGGAGACATGTTTTGAATTTCTTCCAAAAAGACTACCATTCCGGACAATACGACCCATAGATGGGTCGTAAATTCGACAAAGCGAAAAAGGCTCTGGTCCGAAACGGCAGTAATCGTAAAATTGCTTCTCGCAAATGTGTTGAGCGAGTACATGCACAATTGTGACCTAGTTCAGCAAAGTTTTTAGCTTTGCCCTCTGATCTAATTTTGAGCAGGAGTTTCGAATTTTATAATACAGTCATCTGTGGTGGGTTTCCGCTAAGGCCCCGGACAGACTTCACGCAATTTGATCGTCGCGACTAAATCGCGACGAGGCAACTGTTACAACATCATTCCATGCCATGCATGATCATCTTGCATTTCGGTTGTGATACTTTTCCAGCCCGAAATTTTTGAATAAAATGAAAATGAATAGAAATCTCGGCGACTGAATCGCGACGATCAAATCGCGTGAAGTCTGTCCGGGGCCTAAGGCTGATATTCACACCTTGACATGAATTTCGACTACTGTACAACACGATAGCCGTAAATAAACTGAAGTTCACAGAAACATGTTAAATGACGGCCAGAATTATTGCAACAGGCGCATCTTTTATGGTGGGAGCATTCTCTGAGTGCTGTTTGTTATATGACACCACGAAGGGATAACAATGACGAAGGGGAGGATGAGGATTGTGAGTTTATTATGGTCATTATTTATCATCTGGATGTTTGCTAAATTACTTTTACACTGATTTTTTACTCGGCGCTACTAGCTTATGTGCTACTTGAATGACTTAGTGAGAGCTTATGAAGTGGATGGATGGAGAGTCGGTTTTGAAGTTGAAATGAACGGTGTTGGTATTGCTGGAGGTCCAGATGGTGATGGTGATTCAGGTATCATATCAGCTTAGATCTTTTTTTGTGTAGTCAGCTTCATAAAACTTATCTTGCACTGTTAAGACTTCACTGACTCAGACGAAGAATCTGCTGATGGAGACGAACCCCTAGAGGCTTCTCCCTATGCCGAGTACCAGGCTCTCCCTATGCAGGTCGAAGACCCTGGGGATGAGACTGAAGAGGTTGTAGAAAGGAATGCTAATTTGTTCCTTTGCAGATCATGTCATTACTATTACAGGACAGAAATGAAGGTGCTGGCTCAAACACGGTAGAACCTTCTACATCAATCAGCGCCTTTGTCAGTCCACCCATACGGAAGGAATTTGAGAAGGTCTGTTAATCAAATGAAACTAGATTTCCCACACCTTTTTTATTGTCTTTGAATTCAGTATCATCAAGCGTCGTTTTTCATTTTCCTGCGCCTATTTGTCAGATTTCTCCTTATTCACGTTTTTACTCTTGAGACTCCTGCATTACCTCGCGCGATCTCAGCCACGGCGTGATTTGGCAATCTATTGTATATCTTCAATTTTGAATTCGCAAACCATAAGCGGGTAGGGGAACGAAAGCCGCCAGTTTGAGCCGCCTCCGCGGACTGCTGGTCCGGAACGACATGCAACAACACTGCGAAACATAGTTGCGATAGGGGGAGTGATGGATCTTACCCCCTTCACTTTGAGGCCAAACTCCCGATGACCCCCTTCACCTGGGCTGAGATTGGTATCGTACTCTGAGAATATGATAAAAATCGTTATGAAAAGCAGGCTAAGTACCTCAAACAACAAGTACACTCATAAATTTACTAAAGAAATGGTATTTATGTTTATTTATATTATTTATCTATCCTCGTAGCATTTTGGAGAGAAGAAAGTAAGTACACAAAATCACTTAATTTTTGAAGCACATGAAATCCCTCATACTCGCGGCAGAGAAGACCTAGAAAAAAGTCGACGGTCTACGTCGATTCTCCATGATCTCAGCTTTCGAATGGTATACAGCATGTTAGGGCTTCTTTGCTTCCCGGCTCTAAAAATCATTTTCTCCGGTAACCGATAAAAGCCAATACATTGGTGGAGCCGGATTGAAGCAAGCTAATAGTAAATATCTCCACCCCATTTTTGAAAACTGGTCCGTTTTTTCGCCCAGCAACCTATATACCATTCGAAAGCTCAGGAAAAGGGGATTCGACCTAGACCGTCGACTTCTTTCTAGCCCCCCTCTACCGAGAGATACACCGCATTTTATCTGAAAACATGGTCATTTTCAACAGCAGATTTCTGCCAAATGAAGACCTAATCACTGCTGCTTATCTATCTGTGTTAAAGAGCAAGTCTTCATTAACAAACGTAGACCGTCGACTTTCTCGAAGCATTCATTTGGAGAGCAGAAAGTGAGGACACAAAATCAGTTAATTTTTGAAGCACATAAAATCCCTCATATCTCGCGGCACAGAAGACCTAGAAAAAAGTCGACGGTCTACGTCGATTCTCCATGATCTCAGCTTTCGAATGGTATACAGCATGTTAGGGCTTCTTTGCTTCCCGGCTCTAAAAATCATTTTCTCCGGTAACCCATAAAAGCCAACACATTGTATAGGTCGTCTCGAAAGTTTTTGAGCACAATTTTCAAAAAATCATAACTTCTGGTTTTTTCAACCGATTTGACTGCTTTCACTTTTATGTGAAAGGGTAAGTTATGCTCTTTATAATGACATCCGAGCTGCTTAGTAATGGTCATCTCTTGCATAGATAGAAGCTCAAAACAAAATCCCTCAAAATTTGAATTTTTGTGTAGGGTCATAAAAAATCAGAAACTTGCAACAAAATCGGAGCAGTCGGTATTTTAGGTTCTTTCACCAGTTCTTTCTAACAGTGCAAAGTTTGCTCCGATTGAGCGTCTCCATGAAAAGTTATAATTTCCGAGCAAGCAGTACAAAAAGGCGAATTTGATTTATTTTGGCATTCTTCAGGGAAACCATAACTTTTCATGGAGACGCTCAATCGGCGCAAACTTTGCACTGTTAGAAAGAGCTGGTGAAAGAACCTACAGTACTGACTGCTCCGATTTTTGTTGCAAGTCTCCGATTTTTTATAACCTTACACAGAAAATTAAAATTTTTACCATTTTTCTTCTATCGCTCCTATCTATGCAACAGATGATCATTACTAAGCAGCTGAGATGTCATTATAAAGAGCATGGCTTACCCTTTCACATAAAATTGAAAGCAGTCAAATCGGTTGGAAAAATCAGAAGTTATGAATTTTGAAATTCGTGTGCAAAAACTTTCTGGACGACCTAATAAGAGCGAGGTGGAGCAAGTTAATAGTAAAAAATGTGCTGTGGATTGAAATCGTTATCAGCACTAACGGGAACGTGAGCGAACGCGTCTATTTTAGCGTGCTTATCGTTGTTATATGTTTACGTTTTTTTGGTAAAAAATGCGCTTTTGATTGACAGTTATGCCATCATTGTTAGCACACACTCAAAAAACTATAGGAGAGATTGGTGAATTTCCACACCTTCACACAAAACCCGCCCATTTCTGGAATCTATACTCTGTAAACCTAGTGCTGAAGAAGGTCACTTTCGTGAAAACGCTCTAGACTCACCTTACCTAATTTGTAGAGAATGGTTGGTTTCAATGAATTAAAAACTCTAAGACATTCAGAAGAATAACATGTTATTAAAATATTCCTCAATGTTTTGGAAAGGTTGGCAGTTTGAAAAACGGCAGGCAGAATACTTTACAAAATCGCAGATGACTCGCATGTGTTCCAGTTCAACAGCGAGGCAGAAGGAGAATCTTACGCCGACGAAAATGTTGTCGACATTAATACAGAGTTGGGAATTGAGCGAAACTCTCTGATTTCCTGCATAAGGAATCCAAGCAGATTGTCTAGTTTCAATGAGGAAATGTCCATGAAGTCCATTGCTGATCTTCAGGTTGCTGAAGAATTCAAGGCTGCTAAATTCACAAACATGGATATGAACAAAAAGAAGGTGTTAGTACAAAGCATAGTTACTGCGCTTAGATCCCGGCTGGAGTGCGAACCCAACTCTGTGTTTTATGCTTTTGAAAGTTATTCGCCTTGTGACAATATGACCTATGATATTGAAAAAAAAACCAACGCGCAGCATAGTACCTCCTTTTTTCGGCTATTCCGCAAATGCTGTTAAAGAAGAACTTGAGCAGCTTTCTGATCAGCTAACAGGACGTATGCCAGAGGAGGTGAAGCCAGAGTTCGACAAGGCCCAAAAAGTACACTATTTCCTTCCCGTGTTGCGAAAGCATATGAGATTTGGCTCTTTTCCCATTACTTACCGCAAAAATCTGATGGGCCCACTAGCAAAGCTAGTTTCCATTCCGACTAGCACGGCAGAGGTGGAGAAAGAAATTTTCTATCTACTATGTTATCAGAACACAACGCAGAAGTCGTACAACGATAGAGCATCTAAGCAAATACTTAAGATTTGTCAACCTTCTACCATTGTTATCTGAAAAGTTCATTTAAAGGATTGATATAAGTGGTCCAGACAGGCTGTTACCGTATGACTTTTTGAAATATCCTAAAAGAAGGTATGAAGAAACTGGTCACCTACCTGCTGACTTCCTGGTGCTACCAGAGGGCCACGAAAAAAATCACAAAACCGCTTAAAAGAAGAAGAAAGTTTCAAATCCATTTTCGACTCAGAACGCTTTTGCACGCAATTCTACTTCTACTCCGATGACCTTTTGGAGGAAGAAGAAGATTTTTCAGGCAGCGAACTTGTTGTTTCTGACGTTAGCGATAGTGATATTGTTGATGATGATGTGCAGGAAATGAAGTTGTTCCTAACTTGTACATCTTTTGGGATAAACATTATTGCTTTCGTTTTTTGTTGATGCAGTGAAACAGGAGCACAGATCTTCATATCAATTTTTTTAAATTTTTTAACTTCTTTTGAAAAAATTTTAAATTTTTTTTCAATTTGTGCCTAAATAAGGTACAAATTAAAGCTCTTCATATTACGCTTTTTTACCTTTTCTCTCTTCCTCCCCCCCCCCCCCCTCCTAGACTCACATACCCCCTTCACCCTGGAAGGTCGGGAACAGCCGAGACCCCCTTCAAAGGATGGCTATCGTTGGGTTGTTACATATGCTCTTATGATAGTTTCTTGATTTCTCATTTAGTTCTGTAACATCTCACCTGATTACAAGTACAATTTTGAACCTTCTCGTATGCGATTGACGCTCGTCATAAAGAGGTGACCTCGTGCTTTAGGAAGTCTGATCAGTGATAACATGTCCAAAATCTCTTTGCTGCTACCTAGATAAAAAAGCAATGACGCGGGAAACGAATAATCTTCTTTAACCCTGGAGTATCGTGCAACTTTCACTTTGTCATCGCTCTAAGTTAGTGTTTTTGTGCGTATACCAGATCCAACTTTCACTATCCTTGTACTTGCTCCTTCTGTAATCCATAAAGCGCAAAAGCCCTTATCAGCAAGTTTGATCCGCTGGAAAACGATTGGAGACAGTCTTCGAACTGGCTGAAACACAAAAGTCCCGGCACGAATACCCTGCACATGGCGCCAGACTGTAGTTAAAAGTTGCAACGACTGCCAAATCTGTTCTGTGGCTCAAACTGGCGGCTTTCGTTCCCCTACCCACCATAAGCACGTGTATGACTTTTGTAAACTGATGAAATGCCTTTTATAAATAAGGAGCGCCTAGAGTTACAAATGATTGGAGTATTGCTACACTTCGTGTCAATCGCATGCTCCCTTCTCCGTAATGCAATGAGCTTCGCGCTAAGTTCACGCAAGTATGGCTGAGGCATTCAAATTGGCCTTCTACTGGAGGTCCGCACGCAGGACACTTGCATTGCGTATGCGTAGATCTCTGCGAAAGGGAGTACGTAATTGACGTTGGTTGCACATCACTTGAGGGTGGAATCGTGTAAGGTATGCGTGGGGCCCAGTCTTTCTCATAAAGGTTTCGTTTACCGTCAGCTTGACGTTGAAACAGTATGGTTTAGCTGCTCCAAGAAAGCTCCATGTCTATGAAAAAACCCACTGATGAGATTATCCCACACCAGCCAACAAATATAACTCTAGATGCGGGTAAGCTACGCATATCAATCTGTTTTTACTCAGACTTTTCTTTCATGTTGCTCTTCCTCTGTACCTATTTTTTCCATTGACAATACCTTGATTCAGACAAAATTGAAACTATCCGAACAGCAATGTTGGGTTTCACACTTCCTCCGCCTCCACATATGGCTAACTTGGATGATCGCCAGCTTAGTGAGATAATCAGAGAAAAATTGCATGCTTCCTAAGTGGGTATATATACAGCCTTTTCCGTCCAGAAACTTTTACACTTGAAAATCTGTGCTATTTCTTCGGACACCTGCTGGTCACTTGAGATTGACTTGGTCGTCTTCCCATCCTCACATTGCCTATACCAAATAATCCACTGTTTTGAAGCGCTCTGCGCATGTGATCATTTTCCTTTCCTTTGAAACTAACTTTGACAATAAATCATATTTCATGAATGTGTCTCAGTGACGGGGTAGCTTCATCCCAATTATATCTAGCAATATTTCAACCTGTCGTTTCTTCATGACCTCAAATTTTGGGTAGATGTCTCGAAAACGTGAACATGCCGTCGATTGTGAGATGGCTAAGCGTGGAGTTTGGCTTGTGAAGGTGAGTTCATGTTTGTACAGCTAGAGCTCGGCAATTTTCTATGTTCTTAGGTACCTCGTTATCTGTCAGATTTATGGGAAGCCAATGCTGGTACCGACGTAGGTCGACTTGTAATACATCAGGGCGCAAATGGAAAAGGAGATGTAAGTCCATAAAACCGCTTTTATTTTGAGAAAAGTATGATTTTATTCAATCATTTCCTTATTTCTTCTCCTTTGAATTTTCTGTTTTACTGTTCTATTGAATGTTCCCGCTCGTATTTTCGTTGCTTTTTGTACGACAGAAGTCGTTTGTGAAACTCTGATAGTCGAGCAGGCATGCCGCGTACAATATCTGCTACTCATCGAATAATAAGCCAACTATCGCAAAATTATATCATATTATTATTTCACTATCACTTTGATTTGCTTTGTGCTTCGAAGAAGCATCCTTCCCCATGGCTCTTATGCACTGTGCTTTCTATACAAATCCAATTTTTGAGTTGCAGTTTTCTAAAAAACATTTCTTTTAGGTAAAACTGAAGTCTCGTCCTGGTCTTGTTCTACCACAATCTGTAACTTCCACTTTGAAAGGTGCAGATCTGCTTTCATTTTTCAAATTCCAAACTGTAGCTCCAACTTTTTGAGGGCCTGCACAAATACCTGACGAACACTCATTTATTCTTGGAGATGTTCTTAATCAAACGATGGCGGTGCTAGCAGAAGATAAGACTGGCTTAAACGAGGACGCTGATGTCAGGTAGAGTGTGTTTTCGTTGTTGTTGACGTTCCGCTTTCTGCGTTCGTGTCAATGTGCCGCCATAGCTCAGTCGGTTAGAGCGTGGGTCTAATAAGCCCAAGGTCGCAGGTTCGACCCCTGCTGGCGGCAAACATTTTGCGGGTAGACGTTGGTTTTTGAGAACTTATTTATGAGTTGTTCCTTATACCTACTTTAGCATTTTAGGTCTGGAAGATTATCATTAGAGGGCAGAGTAGTAAAGCGTGCGGAATGCCGCCCACCTGCATCAAATAGTTATCTGAAGATGAAAATAGCACAAATTTCAAATAGTGGTCAGCCTAAAAAACAAGTTCTGCAAATGGAGAAGGTTCATAGATTTTTATCATCAATTAATCATATCGCTAACAAAGAGTTGAAAATTTTAAGGCTGCTGTTAAATTCAAACCTGTTGCTGCACATGCTGAAGATATGATGCGTATCAAACAGAAGAAAGAAGGTGCTAAAACAGTTCGCGCAGATCGTAATGTTCTTATGCAAGCGTTGTTCCATGCGTTCGAGAAGCATCAATACTACAGGTCGATAATCTTGAAGAAATTGAGTGATTGTCAGACTTTTACCGTGTTATTTGCAGACTCCAAGATTTACAACAATTGACGCAGCAACCTGCCGGATACGTGAAGGAGCTGTTGACTGAAATTGCTGTATACAATACAGCACCGCCCCATAAAAGCATGTGGGAGCTGAAACCGGAATATCGCGATTATGCTGTACAAAAGTAATTGAATGTTTCTCTAATTTAATTCTTTATATAAAGTTTTACTTTCACGTTTCTTCTTCATTACAGGTCATAGCGATCGTAGATTTGTTTATGAAAAGAGATCCTGTACTGAGTTCTTCCTCAAATACCTCATTGGATCAGGGAATCACCCTGCAAATCTCCCTTATGTAAATAACTTCTTTGTTGATAAGTTGTACAGGGTATGGTCCTTTGCTTAGAAATTTGTTTTTATCTGATTGAGCAGTTTTGTGCATCGATAAAATTTTATTTTATTGATTTTATTTTCCGGAAGTATGTCAGGTCTTAAGTTTACCTATCAAACTCATCGGGTATTTTCTCATCACTGGAATCATCCTTCTACTGAGAAAGCTTGCACCCTTGGCGGGCAAAAGCATGATTTTGGACTTGTGCTCAAGCTATTGTAATATAAAAGAAATTTATGAAACTTTGCATGACTTGCTATAAAGTAGGATAGGAAAGCCTTTCGATTAACGCAGCAGCTACCAGATAAAAACTCATGTTTCCCACCAGAATTTTGAACGTTGGAAATTTCATACAGGTGTTAGCACATCACAGAATATTTTCCAAGATAATTGAAAGTCTAACTGATGGTCTTCTGTCCCTCGCATCAGATATCTGGACAATCAGTTACTGCTTCTAAAATTACGCGTGTGGAATGGTGGACTTTGTTGTTGTGAAAAAAGGCGCTTTAGGAAGGACTGGCGTCATTGAGTCATGGGGTGAGTGATGTTAAAGCTATGATTTTACCCTCGAGTTCCTAATGTCCTAGGCCGCCATGTCATGAAGCATTTTACTCCATCCTGTATGATTTACCTTCGTGCTGGCCACATACCGCATCTGACATGGGATGTTGCACAGAATTGGTTGAAGCTGGACCAGACTCCTATTTATCAATTGACGCTGCCGTCTTTGTTGGTTCTTGTATAGATTCACTTCTTGCTCACATGTCATGCTTTATTAAGGATCGAATCTGCGAAAGTGATTGAAAAGTTTGGAGGAGCTCCTGCATTTTGTGGAATGCCTGTATGTAAGTTTCACTTGCTTATGATTAGTTTTTTCCTATCAATCTCTTTGAGCGTTAAAATGTCAACGATTAGCCTTTTTCATGATTTTAGCGTTATATTGGAGGTTTTAGAAAAATTCTGCTGTCCATTTACATATCTATGATCCCCTTGGAGAGCAGAGATCTGGCTTCAATGATTCAAGATCGATTGCCATTTTCACAAAAGGAGGAAAACAAATGGTTGGTTTCTTTGAGCCTTTGGCACGCGCCATAGTTGATACACTTGATGCGCTTAATCCACTTCATCCCTTGCTATTAGTCAAAACGGTGAAGTGAACAACAGTGAAGCGGATCAAGTATGCGACCGAAAAATTCCTCCAACTTTTTAGCTTGACGCGGCAGGATACCACAAAGTAATTCAAAACTTCTTGTGTGATTCATTTGACACAATGCTGGACTACGATACTCCAAAAGGATCGCTGAATAAACGAATGACGAAAGCAATTGAGCGCACCAAGTCGTTCAATGAATTCATATTCAGAGAAGATGGCGATAATCTTGAGGTAAGTTAAACTGCTTTCAATTTGTTCCCTTGTTCTCATTCTTTGACAACGTAGGGTGCTGTATTGATCTCTTTGGGTGGAGGATTCAGTGATTATCATCGTAGAAAATGCGCTGTTGATGTTGGGCTTAGTAGAAAGTGTAATGGATACTCCGTAAGCCGTATTTCCTGATTTCAATAATCTCTTCTATCGCTTTATATTAAAATGATTCGATTCAGGTGGACTTGCGTGAGTTTGTGCACGGAAAGGAAGTAAATAAAGAGGAATTAAAGAAGCTGGTTGAGGAAACATTTGTAGGGAGTTCTTTGATTTATTGCATTCTTTTATATACTGTGTTTCAGGGCCCGCTTCCACCATCAAAACTTCGTTTTGTAGCAGGTGTTTTTGATCCAGCAATGGTTTTATACTTGACTAAGTTGGGTTTCGATCTCTTTGATTCATCTTATGCAGTAAAAATGGCCGAAGAGGTTAGTTTGCCTACAAATGTTTTTCCACAGCTTCATTTCTATTTGTCTCTCTATCCTCATTTATCATTTTTTATCGTCAAGGTTCTTTGCATTTTTTAGTTAATTGTCCACATCGCACATTCTAACGATAATGAGCAAATTTGTCTTTTCATACTTATTAGATGTAACGCTCGCAGTTGCCACAAGCAAAGTTCTTTTCATTTAGTCTCTATCTTGTTCATGTACTTTTGATTTTTTCTAGTCTCGATATTTGCCCTAGACTTGTTCTGTGAACGCATGCTTCGTATATTCCAGGCAAAAGCTCTTCGATTAGCCGACGACTTCCCACATTCGCCACATTTTGAGCTTCTAGACTTCGGTGATGACAAGTCAGTTTTCACTTTTCTCAGGTCCGATAGGTCTATCTTCATTTTCAGGTATGCCGATGACTACGACAAATTGTTTGATTCCTGCGACTGTTACACTTGCAAGAACTACACCAGGATGTATCTACGACATTTGACGAATACGAAGGAATTGCTGGGTCCCATACTACTGGTGATGTAAGTCTTTGACTATCATGATTTGCAGTGGTATGGTAATCTTTTGTATTCTAGACACAACATGGCTGAGTACCAGCGCATGTTTTCTTTGTTAAGAAAGGCTATCGATGAGGGAGATGCATTGTGATAGTAGCAAGCTGTTCTATTACAGACTGAAGTTTTTTGAATGTTCAGAATTCGTTTTGTGAAGCACTTCGCCTAACGAGCTTACTTTGCATTGTCATTGATTCCTGTTGTCTGTTGGTTTTATGTTGTTGTTGTTCAATAAAGGTTTATCACATCTCATAATTGATTGATTTTATGGCAAAAATCCACATTTTCTGTGTTTTTTTTTGCACTGACATTGCTCAGCCAGAGGACTTTGCAAATCATATTAAGGTGCGTATATATGTAGCAATATATATTACTTACGACAACCTTGTTAGGCAACGCTATACTTGATCCGCTTGATCCACTTCATCTCCCTATGGTCCATCAGAAATTGACAAATAAATAAAATAAATCGTTTGGCGCGTGCCTCAGAACCTCTTAGCTGTTTTTTGGGAAGAAAACTTGCTAATTTCAGAATGACCATAGTCACTGATGACAATGTGCGTATGGATCGTCGGTACGACTGGGTGGGTCCCCCTCATCCAATATCGAAAATCCGTCCGATCAAATAAACAAGTCTCAAAGCGCTTGTGAAACCTTGAAAGTCTTACGTAATTCAGACTGCGGCGAGTCGATAACGAGACGAAGCTTGAACGAGAATATCGAGAAGCAAGGGAGGAACTAAATAGGTCGGTTGTTTGAAGTTAAGGTACATATGTATTATATCGTGTGAATCTGTTTCAGGTGGAGCTCAGCATTTTGGGTCAAACATAATAGTTTGTTCGATGCAAAGAAAGCAGAATTTGTCGAAAAGGTTTGAATTCGATCCTTCTTTATTGGAATGAAGTTTGTATGAAGTTTCTTATCGTTTGACGCTGACATTTACAGAAGAAAAAAGAACTAGGGCCACTGGAGCGGATGTCCGCAAATGATCTGTCGGTTTTCTACAAAGATTTCTTGGATTCAGAACATCGAAATTTGATGGAATACAATAAGTTGGTTTTCTCATTTTTCAAAAAGGGCACTGCCGAGTCCAGGCATAGCTGCTGCGCGAGAGCCGAGATGCTGATGCACCCGACACTGCAGTTGATAAGCCCTGTATGTGAAATTTTCAGGGAGTGGTACCATCGAAATTTAGCCCTCTGCTGGCCAGCCCTTCGAGTGAATATGGTTCGATTCATGCGACTCTTACGAAGATAAATTTAGATAAGCGTGATATAATTTGCATTTTACTACTGATCTGATAGGAAAACAATAGCCTTTTGAAGTAAAATACCTCATAGAGCAATAGTAAGGTCAGTGAGAAGAAGGATCTTTCTTCATAGTACAATATAAGAAGCTTTTGATTGCTAACAAGTTGTTATGTATAAATTCTAAGCTAATGCAAGTTTTTCATCGAGAACTCAACAATCCAACTTCCAACTTGATTCTAAATGTATCTGTTCCTCTCTCAATACAAAGTGTGATCACAGATGTCATCGCTTTATCTACGCTTCTAAAACTTGGTGGCACTGACCGCATCCAAAGAGCAGTGCAAGACCATCGCAAAAAATGAACCTACAAACAGGCGCTGAATTAGTGCACCTAATCAATCAAGCTGTGGAAATGACGATGATATTTACAAAAGATATCATATGGGGTTTGCAACAACTTGGCGTAATAATCTCCTCGTTTTCAGTGTGCCACTGAAAACTGTATGCGCATCTGTCTTGACTCTGTAAGGTCAACAATCAGTACTTGTAAAGTTTACTCTCTAAAATGATCTTGCGTTTAGAATAGGATCTGCAAAAAAAACACTGATACAAAAACCACGGTGCTCATTGACAGAGGTATTACATGTACTATAAATTAATCACTTATAATCCAACTTTTTGCCATATAAACTCATGTTAACAGATTATTTAGTGGACCGGTCCAATTACATACACATCAAGAATCATCATAGAATAAAAAAAAGTGACGTCAATCTACTTCTATACCGACAAAAGTATTTCATGAGACCGGTACACATAACAGCATAGCTCTTCTTTTCTTGATATTGTTTGCAAATTGATGCGCACAAGCTGCCTTCCGTAAAAGGGGCTGGTCCCCTGGGCAAATGGCAGAAGTGAGAAAATGCCGGTATGCCACGATGATAGGGACGGTTGCAGGTGATATAAGAAGGGCCGTGAACTAATCAACCCGATCTAGAAACAGGAGATCGGGTTCGATGGAGGTGGGAAGACCGCTTGCGCACTCAAAGAATGAAGCGATTAAGTTTGAGCTATACTTGAAAGTGCACCGATCATTCCTGATTGATTTCGAAAAAAGTAGATTTCGCCCAACTATAAAAGGAATGAGTAATGACAAAGAATTGCAACACTAACACAACAATAGCACAAATCACTCAATACAAACAACATATCAATGACCTAATCAATCACTACTTTCCGAGATAAAGTTGATGACTATACAAAGCGTTAGTCCTGCTTAAACTCGTTACACTGATGCGAATGCCTCTTTAGGTATGCTATCCTTGTTAGCAACAAACGCTTGCCCTGCAGCCTGAAATAAAAATTTGGGAATGTTTTAACTTTTGAGGATGAATAACAAATCAACAAGCAATCCTTATTGGGCCAGCTACAAACCTTTCTCAATTTCACAAATTAAGTGACACGAAAGAGAGAGAAGCAACTCACGATCTAGAGTTGAAATTACTAACCTCATAATTCCAGTCAAAATCGATTAAGCATTTTTCTGACCAAGCCGGGATCATTCCACTATCTTTGCAAAACTGCTCAACCATTTGTTTCTTGACTTCTATAGAGGGTTGACTAGACATCTGTAATCCATTGATGGACTGTAAAAATACGAAATAAGCTTGAGCAACTATGACTATGGTTTGCAATTATGAACCTACATTTGTAGCTTGTGCAATGGGATTCATTGGCGCAACTGGTGCAGCTGGGCCTGGAGCGGGTCCGTTGGACGCGGCCTATAGATGATATTAGTTTTGGACTACGATGATATAAAAGGCAAACCTTATTTAGCATTAGCTTATACCGAGCGACTCGCGCTGGAGTGATTCCTGTGATGTACAACATATCAGAGATAACTGCTATAGACCTAAACAAGAAGAATTTGACTGAGAGCCAAAAACTTACAGTTATGAACTCACTCATTCGCTCGCGGCGAAACAACAAATGACCTCGAGAAGAAGCTCAATTGAGGTACCTCCCCGGGTTTGGCAAATTTACCATCTTCGAATAATCCTTGCACAGTAAACGCTAAGAGTTCCTCCTAAAACATCGATTCAAAAAAAATGCGGATACTTGTAAGTTCCAAAATTACCGAGATCAAGTGTGTATCGACTATGAAAGACTCTGTGTAGTGGTTGGTGATAGGTAATTTTGACAGAGCTACAGCAATATCCATTGCTCCTGTAAAAAAAAATGCATTATTGGGTAGGAGACGATTTCAAAAGGATAAAAAGTATGCACTCACCACGATATGTCCGAATGGCACGATTCCGTTGCCACCTTTCTTCACATAATACATTATGGGACGAACGGATGTAGAGATTGTAGCAAGCACTAAAGCGAAATCTTCCCAAAAAAAATTGTGGAAGTCATTCACCAACATAACAATAAAGAAATTGACTTGAATAGAATTTTAAAAGAAATTACTTACTCATTCGGATATCGAACTGGTCCCTCGTTAGACATGTCTTTCAGATGAGATATCGTGATTGTAAACGAAGACTAGATAGAGACTATAGGAATTTTTCATATCGAAAAATGCACTAACAACTCACGTTATCTTGATCATAAGCTTGCACAAGATTTTTCCTTGTAACATTTCCTTCTTCACCATCATATAGCTTATAGTACTCAACGAGAAATCGCTCCACCAGTACTCGTAAGTTGTCGCTTCCATAGAAACCAGGCTAAAAGGTACAGTAATGCAAATATCAAAGCTTACAACCGTTGAACATACCCTGCTCGGAGGCTCCGTTGTTATCTCATCATCGTCCAAGGATTGCACGTGCACAGCGGCAGGCTGTACTGGGGATCCATCCTGCAAGACAATTTGAAAGAATTAGCATTGATTTGCTAGGAAAAATTACTCACCAGCACACAAACTTTCGGAAAGACTTGGTGAACGGCGCTGAAGATTATGACATGAAAAACTGCTCATTAACAGAGGGATCCTCTGGAAAACGCAAACAGACACCACCTTCCTGCCAATTTCTAATACTGGCAGAACAGAGTGGTAAAACTAATTGTAAGTGAATGAAACATAAAACATAACGATATGAGATGGAGATTGAAGAAAATTCTGAACATGCATAATTACAGATAAACAAAAACAATGTTACAATGCTCTGAAATTTGTTGACAATAGACCTGAGATATCCTGATGCCGTTGTTAGCTGTTCAACAAGGGGATTTCCTTCGAAGAAAAGCGTCTCTACGGGAAGTCCTTTGAGCTTTTCCAACTCGCTGATTTTATCAATCTAAATGAGTTAACAGTGATTTACAAGTCAAGATGAATATTTCCAAGCTTACTTGATTGTTGGATAGATCCAAAACTTTCAGCAACTTGGTAACGCTCACAAGCACTGCTGCGTAATCCAAAAATCGGAGACGATTGCCCTAAAAAGTCACAACACATTAGCTTCTCTTTTCAGGTGAACTCGAGAAGAGTGAACTCACAAAAACTTACCTGAAGGCTGAGTGCTGTGATTGACCCGTATCGCTCATCTATTCTGTCTACAACTGTCAACATAACGTTGTTCTTATTGAGCATCATATGCAAGTCGCGATCTTTGAATTCTAAATTTGATTGGTGAGCTACAGATTTAGCAAAACAAATCATTATCTTACTCTGATCCAAGGCAAACTCGCTGAGATCAAGCGAACGAGAATCATGATTGTATCGACTGTCAACAACTTCCTAGAACAGAATGATGTGTCTACAGAGAAAAGTGTGCGACACATGGAAGATTGACTTATACCTGGATCACTGCAGTTTCTTCCTTGTTCAACTTAGTCCATGGCGCAACAACTTTATCAACAAGTATCGACATCCTGTCGCCGGTAATTTTGTGCACTATTCGGCGTGAGATTGCTTTGCATGCATCAGCAGTGTCTTCGCTCTGCAAACAGTTATACACCAGTTGAATCCAGGAGATCCTTGCATGCAAAGGAAGTCCGCGCTGTTGTTTTTATCCCCGCCTCATTTTCATGAAGGCTCAAGCCCATTTTGACCAATTTCCCCAGATCATCCCTATAGCTTGTCAAAGTCAGCCGCATCCACCTTCTTGGGTTTTCCTAACTTGAAAGCAATTTCTTTTTACAGCAGATTTTGGATAATAATTTAGCGGGCCTTAAGAAAGTATCACATTACAATCTACGACAAACTTTCGCCAAACGGTGTTTTAACAACAACAAAAACATCCTATAAAATTTTCGATGAAAAGCAACCTTCAAGAAAAATTCGACGTCTCCACGTGGAGTAACTGTCACTAGCAGTGGTTTAATGTCCTCGATTTGTTGATGCAACTGCTTCATTATCCATGGTACCGTAAATTTACGACCGTATGGTATCTAAAACAAAGCATAAGCATGAAAGGCAATTTCCTAAACCCAGCCACATACCCGAATTTTATAAACCATTTCAGTATGGCGGGAAACTCCGCCAGCACTTCTCATTGTTTGTTCATCCTTTCTGCCTCGCCGATTGCCGCCGTTGCCATGCATTACCCGTCCGGCAAGCATATTGATAACGCGGCTAACAGTGCCTTGTCTCGGTCGAGGCCGCTCATCTAAAAATCAAAAACAACTTAGTTGTAAATTCTATGTAATAATGGAAAAGAACATACTGAAGAAATTTAAAGAACAATAAGAAGAAGCTGTGTGCGAGAAATTGACTTATTACCTTCGTCGTCATCAACGTAGGAGCTCACGATATCGGAATCCAACCGCGAAAAGCGATTTTTTGACAACTGTTTCACATCTCGTCGATTACCACGACCACCCGGCATTATGTTGAAACTCTGCAGCATAAACCTATGAGTAAATGAGCTTTTGAATAAAGATGAAAAACAATCGTCAATGAGAAGGGATGACTGCAGGGGACAATGGTGTAGCAAGAAAGATGACAATCATGGATTTTGATGAAGCTTCATGAGGACTGAAGATCCAGATAGAGGATAATCAAAGTCTGAGCTCACACGCATTCAGTGCAGTTGAGAATGCTGTTGCTGGGAAGGGCCCATAAGCCCGCCACTCACAAACAAAGAAACTGCTGTGCAGTTACAGAAGGTACATTACTTCGAAATTAGAGAATTTTATAAATCAAAAACCCTGAACTGCCAGGCATAAACAGAGTAAAGGCTAGATTCCGCAGTCAGGATACTACAATCTAGAAAGGGACCGAAAAGAATCGGAACTGGCGTCTACAACCGACCAGAAAAACCAGTCTTCGCCTTTCTGATAACAGCAACCTTCAAACTTACTCACTAGAATTTCGTGCACTCAAACCAGCGAAGCAGGTCACAAACGAACGACGAAAACTGGCCATGACGTCATTGAGAAATGACGCATGTGACAATTGTCGCAGGACCCAATCGCTATGGGTCATTATTTTGTAGTAGAGCGCATTCCTTACAGGTGGAAATTACTTCAGAGTTTTTGATTTAGATTCTTCCATCGCAGAAATATTGCTTCCAAGTCGGCAATTATGCTTATTTTGCTCCAAGGTCTGTTTTACCGAGCCCATCCTCCCCTCCCCCTACCCATTACAGGTAGGGAATGGGTCTGGTGTTTGCAATCACGGAACGGCTTGCAATAAAAAGCGATTGCTATTGTTTCGGTGCGCTTGTTTAAAACGACATCCACTAATCACTCATTTTAAAACTGAAAAAGCAGGTGAAATATTTGGACAGTGCCCCCCCCCCAAAGAGTGACGACGTTTAGTCGCAGTACCTCCAAGACACACGTTTGATCAAAAATAACATTGGAGATATCCAAGGACATATATCATCATGGATAAACCATGGACAGAAGCCGTTTGGTTACTTCTGCTTGTAGTTTTTGTTTACAGGTATTTATTTACATATTAAGTACAGCACGAAATATTTACAGTCCTGTCAACAGAATTGAAACCAGCATGAAGTGAGATGTTGCATTAGAATAACAAAAATAATTTAACAAGTCAAGACCAATTCACAGTTATTTATAATCAATACTGTCAAGTATCGTCATATTCAACCGGTTCATCGCAGTCGGCGAATGAAAAAGTGATAGGATTACCATCTTTGTCGAGCTGAAATCACTAGTTTAACGTCTAATAGATGAGAAATGAACTGACATACCTTGACTGGTACATCAAGATTTATAGGCCCGACAGCCCTGCTCATTCTATCTCTCTCTTCTTCAGTGAGAGAGTGTCTCACGTGTAGAAACTCAACTTTGAGTAGGAATTCTTCAGCGTCATGCTGAAAGAGATAAAGCTCAACAAGTCTAAAGATTACTATCAATAACATTCAATGCAGAGAAGTTCGTAATCAAACCTTTACATCCAGTGACTGAGTGGATGATACGAGGTGATTCAAGGGCGCAATAAGGTCGTTGTATACAACTAAATCTTCTAAGAAAGGAGCGAAATATGCTATCGAATCTCGCATCTAAACAAGTACACATATACGTCATATAGCAACACCAAAAAAAGCGAGAATCACCTTGTAAAATGAGGAATCCGATAAGGGAAGCTGTGAGATAAAGTATGAAAAGTAATGAGCGATATGCTTGTTGTGAGCCGTAGCCTCAGCACTACAAGTAAACAGGAAGTACTTCAACACTGCACAACACTTGTACTAATTACCTGTTGCAAAACTCAAATCTTTGGCACATCTTCTCTACAACTGAATCCAAAGGCTTGTCGGCAATCAAAGGTAGAAGCTTCCTGCAAGTGAAGCGTCAAAAAGAGGACAGAAATACCCAGATATACTAACTTGACGATAAATCTAAAATCACTCAATGACACTTCCTTCTCAAAACGACAGACGCGACAGATTATGTCGGGCATGACATTCACCAGCAAATTACCCTGTAAGTAGTGCAAATTTTTGCTGCAATAACCCCAATCATCGCTGCAGAAGAATACCTTGATTGAGATCTCATAAAACAGTTTCCTCGCGAGAGCTATCACTTCACGATTGCCAGTACGGACTTGGGAGGAACTGGAGTTGTTGCTTGGCGCACTTTTTCGAAGCATACAGAGGGCAACATTTGATAGTGTACCTCTGGGCTAAAAATGCCACTAGCCAAAAATTCAAAATGAACCAGCAGATAGAATATTGCAGCAAATAATTACCTTGAGGATGTCACGTGTGAGCATCTTCGTTAAATACAGCAGTGCGGTAATTTTTACACTAGCATCTACGTCAACGGTCCTAAAAAGTTGTTATTAGACAATGGCAAATCAAGATAAACCAGTAAAGAAGTTTTACATTTCAAATAAGAATAATGCTTGGCGATCAAGCATGGAAGGAAATCGCTGCATAATGTCAACGGCAGATACCAGAAGATACTCCCTCATGTCCGCGTCTGGATGGCAACATGTGAATGTGAGGAAAAGCGAACTAGCTCTCTCAGAGAACTGCGGACTGGAACAAAGATCTCATCGGCTTTTTATGGAAACAAAATGCAGGAACTAACCAAATCAATAAAAATTTGCTAAAAGCTTGCAGTGCCGCATCAGTGATTGGTTTTGGATTGTTTGGACATCGAACGAAATACACAACCATCGTCAGGCATCGGCCCAATATGTGATCCTTCTGTAGCAACTTGGTTTCCAGCAAGTCCATAGTACGGGTACGGATAAGTTCGTCAGTAGAAGGCCCTACAAACAACTCTTCCATTAGAAGGTCTCACTTTCCATGCAAGAGTGTAAGTTAGATACGTACGATTAGAGTTGTCATCTTCGTCATCATCATCATCCTTATCTGCTTTCTCCGCATGCGATTCCGATAAATGGCTTTCGGTCTCCGACCTTTCGCCATTCTTCTCTGCTGGCTGTGAGTCAGCGACTTTCATCTTAGCAGCTACAGTTCTGGCAAATATGCCCTCTTGGTAAGCAAAATCCATTTCGAGATCAGTGTGTGCCCTGGCATAGTCTGCGTACGGCTCCGTAACATCTTCCAAGTCCTAAAAATATTTATATGGAGAGGATGGGTATGCAAATACTTTACAAACCTGCGCGGCAGCATCACCTAGCTCCATAGATCGTTTGAGCAGTTTAGGGAAATTGTTGTCAACATACGCGAGAATTCCTTCAACTATCTGAATAGATGGGTTCAAATTTCAAATAAGAAACTGAAAGCTGTGAGGAAACTCGAAGCCATTATATTCACCTCTGCAATTATTATGAGGGCGCGCTCGGTTGTCCTTTGCCAAGCCCCATTCAGATAGCCTCTGAAAAATAATTATTTACCAGAATGTAAAACTCTAACACAGCAACGGTTACACGAGTAGAAAAACACGTTCGAGGACATACTTCCTCTTCTTGATCAACTCCTGGCTAACATTCTGTGGTATTTTTCCCGCTTCCTCCAGTTGCACGTGCGCTATGTAGGCCTCAGTTGCTCGCTTGGCAAAAAAGATGCTCTGAATATAGCCTATATTAAAGAGATTTATCTATTATCTTTGTCATTCACCTTAGCCAGAAGTCTTGTAATTACGAAGTCTACATCAGCAGCGATCGCAAACACTGCCTTGATACAACTCCGTGTACATCTATACCAGTAATCTGACACTGGAGTTCCATCAGACAGACGCTCCTCATAATCTGATAGCAGAACTAAAACAACTACTTGCAACATATATATGTCAAAATCTGAAAACATGTTACTTCGTATGAAAAGATTTTCGATGTCCGCAAATAAGGAGTCAGTAGCTCGTAGACGATAGGCATGATTTTCTTCTTCTTTTACCGGATCATCCTGAAAAACTATCATGCATTTTGCTACATAGCGCGTGACAGTCACTGCACTCTAGCAATAAACGAGAAAGAAACGTGCTGTAAATTAAACTTACCTCTGTGGTTGGAATCAAGAGCGAGATAGTCTGCAGCGCATAGAAAGCCTCACGCACATCCTTGCACCGGATACATTTGTGAAAAACGCGAAAATGCTTTCGCATTCCATACGGATCTATCCTAGAAAAAGAAGCAATGATGCCTTCAAAAATGTCTGACGATTAGCATACCTAGTCAACAACGGTAGAACTGCTAGTGCAGGACATTTAAAAGGTGAATAAACCTTACATACGATCTAAAAAATAGACTTAGTGATTGTTTTTCCAAAACCAAATCACTTACGTTCATAAGGTGAGTCACAAGCCCTGGAGGAAAAGGGTCGTTTACAAATGCGTGATAGATAAGCTCTTCGATAGCAACACGATCCCCCTATAAGTGACGGTGCAAAAAATAGGACTTCTCAGGTGCCTAAGACGTTCAAAACTACAAAAGCGCTTACATCCTCTTGATCAGTCAGTTTTTCCATAAGAGAATTTGCTGTTTCCATTATATCAACATCTCCTCTGCTGAAAAAAGAAAACCTGCAACAAACGGTAAAAAAGCTAATTATATTTACGCGTTTCTTTTGAGGAAAAGCATTCTGATCGTGTTGAGAACCTCAGTCACAGCATTAGTATTTCCTGATAAGTACATTTTGTATAAAGCAGATGCCGATTTTCTGGAAAGTAGACTGCTCAATAACAGCTCCACACAATAAAACACCTATTGACCTGATCTTGAACCTGTAGCAGGTGGCGAAAAAGGTAACCGCATAGTTGACGTCTGTGAAACTATTCTGTTCCAAGGCTTCGTAGATGTGCGAGAACAGCAAAGTCATTTGCTCAGCAAACAGCATTTTCTCCTGAACAATGAAAAATCATCTTTAAATAAGAAATCCAATGAAAAGCATTGTCGACCTACCTGCACAACATTAACCGCACGTTCAGCACGATCCATATTTTCCTCAAAGAAAACACCCATTTCTTCCAGTCGAGTCTGTCCCAAAGAGTCTCCTATGTAGCCCATGTGCATTGTGATATAGTAACGACGAAATTCACTAATGATCGCATCAACGAGTTCATTCGTCGAGACATTTCTAGAAAAAAATAGGAGAAACTATAAATGCTTTCAATGGATAGTCCAACATACGGGTCAACTTTCTTGAACTTCCCCAAGTAACACATCTTCGCTAAAATGCAGGCCACGGGCTCCATAGACATCTCTACCATATCCACCATCACAAGAATGATACTAAACATTGTTTTGATGTTTTACTCGAAAAAATAGAAAACTTGAAGTCGCGCACTGCTCGAATTAGATTCCCAGGAAGATCTGTCCACTGTTCTTATGAAAACATGATAGAAAGAGGCTGGACAAAATTTTCGACTCTCAGAGCACATCCATACTATAGAGTATCTGACGCATTTCAAACCAAGGCCGAGTTGATTAAGACCAGAAAGTTGGGTGTGTCAGTTATCGTTCATATATAAAGGTAAATAAAGAAAACAAAAATTTGACTCACTCCTCCAGCGGCTTATCAGTCAAATCGTCAGTGTTTTCCTCATACTTTTTCGTTTCTATCACACGGGTCAATGTCTCCTTCAACTGATCCGAAAACGAATTGAACCGATTCATGATGACTTGCACACCGGGTCGCTCTGGAAACTGCCGAATAAACACCTCTCTGCTTTATCAAAGATAGAAAGCTCAATTGAAAATACCTGGATCGAGCACCTCGATCCGCTTGATAAATTCTGCCAAGTTTGTGCATGCTTGGCTCAGCTCAGCAAAATTCAACTAAAGTTTGTGATAATCATGAGGTATCAGAAAACATCTTATTGTTAGATACAAAACATACTTCCTTGCCAAAAGGACCAAGCAGAAGATACAAGACGAGGAATTGCATAGCCAATTTACGCGCAGCTGCCGACTTCTCTGTCTTCAAACGTTCAGCTAGAGTGAAAACTCAGTAAAATTACCTCAATAAAGCAAGCACTTCCATACTTATTACAAAGAATAGACCCTTCTTGAGTGAATCAAAAGGGACTCGACGGGCGTTGGCAATTTGTATCCAGTAACCCAACACGTTTAAGCGAACTTGTGGATTGGCATCTGCGAGAAAGTCCTAAATAAGCGTCAAATAATTTGAAAGAAGTCTAACATAGCAAACGCACCAAAAGACAGTCCGTCATGATCACATAACTGTTATAAACGCTGGTTCCTGGACGCACATATTTGGGGGCCAAAAGTTCGTTATTGCATATATTCTGACAAAAAGCCTCCAGTATTGCGGTACGCAGCGCGGGTGGCTGCAAGTCGATGGTACAGATTTTCAACTCTATCACAGATAAACGCAAATCAAGGCTGGAAAGACTCACATCATAATCAAGAGCACGGGCCGCTTGCGCACAATGGTCCAAAAACACTTCAGGAGCACGATTTGATAACTTTTGAACTAGTGCTACATATGGCCTCTGCAATGTTCCGGCCGCTTCAAAAGGAACTAGTCTCCATAAACGCATCAACATAACCGACAGCATTTGCTCATGCATTCGTCCTAAAACAACTTATAGCAGCAATTTCCTCCGAGGCAGAGTTACATACGCTGACCATGTCCCGCAACTTTCTCTAGTACATCAACGAATGGATAATCAGACCGTGCATCTTTCAGATAATCGAATTTCATACTTGCGTCAACCAACTCTTCGGCAAACGCTAAAAAAATGTACTTGCGATCAAAGCGAGCGAATTTGTAGTTGCATTTTTTTTACTCTACTACTGACAATCCGCAAAAGTAAAAAAGATATTACTCGTGAAGTTTAGAAAAATAAAATGTGATCCAACCACACTCAAGAACTCTGATTACTTACAGCTGGCATAATCAAATCCAACACAGATAGGGCGCATATGTGCGAACAACTTCTCTAGCTCGTCTTTCGCAGTCTTTTTAGCGTAACGTGGATGGGAGGCAAACTTCAGGATTATCGCAGAAAAACACCTGGATTGGTACAGCTGGTCAACAAAGGAATCAGAAAGATCTAGGAAAAGAACTGAGAAGAATAACCTTAGGAGCTCTCCATCCAGTCGCGGTGGACGCGACAGATACTGGATAGCATTCTCGATAACCTCGCCATTGCCCCGCGAGATATTGAGACAGCAAATAAAATCAATCATTTCTAGTATCTTGAAAAAAATAAAATGAAAAATATATGGCTGAATAAAGATATGTTCACATAAATAGAAAGTAAAAATCAACATAATCATATACGAATGATTCAAGCCTAATGTACCTCATTCCGCACATTATACCATACTTCTAGTGCGTCATCAGGTATATTTTCGTCCACAATAGCATCATCGTCATATCCTAGCTCATCTTCATCAGAGACATAAGCACCATTTTCGATATAAGCTCTATAATGCCCTTCCAAAAAGCTTGAGCGCAACAGTAAACGCTATCCTACCTTTTCACTACAAGGGTCTCGAGGCGAAGCACAAGGTTTTTGATCAAGTATACAAACATCTCCATGAATTCAAGTTTGTCTGCGCACGTGTCCTTCATCTGCAAAATTACTATGGTAAACACGCCCTAATAAATTCTGGAACTCCAAAGTTCGTACATTTTGGGAAACATCATCACCAACGCTCGCCACATGACAGACGGTATTTACAAGATCCGGTTTGAATGAATTGAACCCTAAAAGGTCGCCAAAATGCCAAAACCATTCGAAGCATCGAAAAGAACGCGATTTACCTTGGAGCAAAAGCTGTACGAGATCAATCCACAAATCCCATGTTCTGATTTTACCATGAGACCTAAAAACAGCTGAGGCTGTAGTACAAATCTTCAATTAGAGGTATCGTACCTTGAAATGTGATAGAACTCATCGAAGAAAGTGTGAATCTCAAAGTAATCACCATCATCGAGAAATCTGGTGAAACCTGAAAACAAGGTGGTCCATCAATGACCTACCATTATCTGTCAGCGATCTATAACCAAAATCCAGAGAAAAAAGAGAGTTTTACTTCAAAATAGAGTCTTGATACTAATACTGATGAAAGATGAGAAAAGCTATGAAGCGCTTCAAAAAATTCTAGGTACTTCTTCGAGAAAATCATATAGATGAAATTATACAGAGCTGACCAGCGATTGCATTGCGGGCCTCTTCCATTGTTATTTCGCTCTTAACAACAAATTTGTACACAGTATCACTCATGAGATAATCATCATTGGGAGGGATTGCGAACCTGGAAAGGACAAATAGAACCACAAACACTGAGCACAGAAAGACAATTTATACGAACCTTTTACTGTCTACAGCGATTGGATCTGCTCTGTCAGAATCTGTTTGTTGATCTCCATCACCCGCATCTTCGGCTGAACTTTCGCTTTCTTCTTCATCATTATTTTCCATCTCTTCGTCTCGAATGTTTTCACTCGAATCTGAGGCATCTCCCATAACAGCTGAAAGCAACTGCCTGATGTGAGCAAACGCCAGGTAGAATTTAATAGAAGTAAACATAGAGCGGATGAGCTGAGCACAAAACAGTGAATTACAGATAAATAAGCATATCAGGCAGCACCTTTCACGAAAGGTTCTAAAAATTCTAAAAAACGCGCTTTCTGCTCACAAATGCAGGTACAAGCGCATTTCAAGTCCTAAGAAAGTAGTAAGGTTGTATGAAAGACAAAGTTTGACAAAAGCAAATATATATGAAAAGTAACATATAAATCCTAGAACCAGGGATGCCCAGATGAGGCTGTGGCCATTGTACCGTAGGTTTTTTCAAATGAAGGCTGTGAAACTGCGTGTGTTCTCACGCGCTTCCACACAGAAATTTTTGCTATGCAAAGTGGATGTGGGATTGAGGAAAATGGCGGTCCTTTCCTCCATATGCACGCTTTTGAGGGACCAACATCAAATCAAAAAAAAGCTCAAGAATTTGGCTTAGTTTTCGGCCGGACTTCGCTCAAAAGCGCCCAAAAGCGCCAGATTTCTCTAATTCTCTCATCTCTCTTCACACGAAGAGGAGCTTTTAGCAGAAGGTTATTTTCTCAAGGAATATCTTAAAGCAATGAGCGAGTCTTGCTGTCGTGGGAAGAAAACTGAGGGCTTTGAGGAAATTCTTCACAAGAACGCCGCTTCCTATAGAATTCTCTTTTCTGTCAAGATATTTACTTTTGGGGCTATTTTTGCCGTAATTGTCTGTACTTTGAAGAAGATTACTGCTTGGATAAAAAATACGAACTCTTTCAGGGGAGAATATTTCACAAAAAACATCTTCTTCTCAGAGATTTTCCACTTCATCTAATGGGAAATCTACGTTTAGCATCCGCTGGTAGAATCCAATTTTCCTACATTTTATCGTAATCTTTGCGAAAGCATTTTTGGAGAACCCTTGAATGCTTTCCCAAGGGGACCAAAGCTCGCTCACTCTTCTTTGTAGGGAAGAAGTAGGGCCGTCCCTGAGTACATGCTCCCAGGATGGATTTTTTGCCAGAGTGAGTGGAACTCTTCTATGAAAAAGCATTTTTCTGCTAAATGCCCCTGAGCATTTCGTTCCGCGAGAAAATACGCGCTCATTGCGTTTTTCTTAAGGTCCTAAGTAGATCCTATAAACAGAGGTATTCTTTGATTATATCTTTTCGCTAAAGCTGTTTTTTCGTACCGCGAGGTCAAAGCTTGCTCAGTGCTTTTGTCTTTAGGAAAAAAGTAAGGTTTTCAAGCACATGCCTGTAGGATGGAATTTTCGCCAAATCAAGAAATCTATGGATTGAAAATATTCTTTGCGAAAATAACTTTCTGCTAAAAGCCGCTGAACTTCTTGTCTTAGAAAACAAAGCTATTCCTTGCGAAAATCTTTTTGCAAAAAACCCGAATGTTTTCCGGAAGGAACCAAGCTCGAGCAGTGCTATTCTTTTTAGAAATAGAGGTACGGTTTTTCAGAACATATGCTTTTGCGAAAATATTCTTTCGCTAAGAGTTCCTGAGCTTTTCCCCTCATAACTAAATCGCTCCTTGCTTTTTTTCAAAAAAGAGCAGGTTTTTCCAGGCTACAAGCTAGTAATATTTTTGACGGTTAATTGAAATTTTCCACGAAATGGAGCTATTCCTTGCGAAGGCCTTCCACCAAAAGTTCCTGAGCGTTTCCCTCCCGCGAGACTACGACTTGTCGTTTGTCAAAAATAAACAAATGTTGTCTACAGAAGGAAAGTATTTTTTTTTAATTGAACCGTTAGATGGGACAGTTGGCAACCGTACTCGTGTGCTTTGCAAAGTAAAAAGTTCATGAACACTTAACAATTTCATGACAAATAGTTAAAGCTTTACTTTGTCCTAAGTCGAGTGAATTTGTTTCAAATAATCCCTCATATGTGATCAAGGGTAAGAGCGGAAACCAACAAATGACATTTTCTCGATCAAACGTCTTGCAAAATAATCAGAGATAGAAATGCGAACAGCTGATATGAGTTCCATAGCTTTTTTTTCTATTGAGCAATGTTCAGTGCTTAACAAATGAATGTTTTTGAAATTAATGCCAAAAAATAATCAGTTTCGTTGTTTTCATTGCATTGTTTGCTCGAAATCATAACTTTTTATAGAGCGCTTAAACTACATATTTCAATCAATTCAAAATATTTTGAAGAGAATTTTGTAGAAATCGTAATCCTTGCCCTTGTTATTGCAATTCTTAGATTTTTTGGTAATGGAACGAAAACCAAAATACAATCACTACTTCCTTTGAAGAATGAGGCGCAAAGCCGGTTATGACTTCGTCTTGTAAATTGAATTTAAGCCAGAAGAAAATGAATACATCGATAGCTGGCGAAATTCCGTATACAACCATTTTCGCTACCGGCATGTTACTATTTCAAAACAGCAAGTGCAGCAACAAAATTGGCGAAGGTAGCCATTAGATAATCGATAATTCTGAAAGTTAATATTTTTGTAATCAGCGTGCACACATACACCCCTGTGTCAATTTTTAGCCGCTTGGCTCAAAGTTGAAAAATACCCGCTCCGCCGCGGTGCGAGCAAATCACTCGTCGACATAATGGCTGCTGGCCTCTCCCCTCGTCATCACTGACCGCCGTTATATCTTTACATTTTTTTTATCCGTCGCAAGCTGGACCCTCCTTCATTCATGGGTTTGAGGATAGAAGGGACGTAGAAAACTTTGCCGTAGCGCTTGAAAGAATGTATGTTATAGTAAGTATGGATGATTTTGTTTTCCAGGTTTTTGTTGAAGATTCGGATCTGGCCTGTGATCGCTTGCTGCAACAGAATATCAAATCATCAGACCGCGTGACTTCTTTTAACTTTCCCTTTTTTTGGAATAAAAGAATATTAAAGCATGTTTTAGACATGAGGAAATAGCTGATAGCTCACGTGCACACATCCTTATGTATTATAACATTCGAAGGAAAGAAGGCGGAGCAACAAATAGCGACAATACATATCTATCTGCATGTCACTCCCGTACATCATTTTAAAAAATTGTAAATTTGTCAATTTTGAAAAATTTCATTTTTAGAATATTAGGTTGTTCCGAAAGTTCTATCCGATTTGCAGATTTTCTGATTGAAAGTGTTATAACTCTTTTCAACATTTTTTGCGCTAGTTAAATTGTGTTGAATTGAGCGAGGTTACGTCTATCACAAGCACAGTATGCCATGTAAAGAAAGCAAGCGAGAGAGAGAAAAAAATTTGGAGATTGCAAAGTTTTCTTCAAAACCATCCACTTTGACGTACTATGCTCCCATAAAAGGATACGCTGACATATTCGGCTGCCACACCATTAAGTAGCCTATACTTCAAAGATTCTTTTATGGCTGAAAAGAATTTTGAGCTATTTTTGGTGCACAGAAATCTTTACGCGCAAATCAAAGAAATCCATTATTTGAGCCCTCCTCCGCGCGCAAATAGGTTGACTTTCTAATATTTGATTTTTTTTCTTGCTGTCGCGAACGAAAAAAGCTAACTGGCCCATAGTCCTCGCTTGCTCTCGCTTTAGTCTATCGCATGCATTATTGAGTGCACCACCGTTCGGTATACGTAGATTCTTTTTTTTGTTTTTTTTTGAATAACTGAACTTTTCTTCCACTTTTGAGAAAAAATTGAAAAAGTAAGACGTTAGCTTTGTTGGAGGTAAAGTATGCGTATGTTGGCCCGTTACACTCTGACCCATTATAAAATACCAGTGCTTCACCTCTGCTTCGCAGAGGCTCGCACTGGCTCTTCTAGAGTAGGGGACTATATGTCGCCGAAAATGGGAGGTCCCGCTGGACATCTGCGACAGTTACACCTTCTGATACATGCGGCATCTGCTGCATTGTCCGCGCGTGACAATCCCACTTTCGGCGACATTTAGTCCTTACCCGCTCTTCTGTCTATATGCCATATACTCTCATTTCCGCATAGCATAGCACTGAAACATACCGCGAATGCCTGCCTTCACGGTTGAATCGTAAACAACTATTCATTCTGAAAGCTTTTCCGTATTCTGCGTGTATGACTTGGAAGATGAAGAAAAAATGCAGAATTAGAACATTTTTGAATTATTTCTTGGCTTGGTGGTCACCACAAGGATAATATGCACGGTGAGCTACATCCCTGTGCAAAAATGTTCTCAAATGCTCAGGTAAAAACCTGGCAAATTGAGCATTTACGCAGATAATTCGTTTTAACGCCGTTTTCGTGGAGCAATAGACTTCATCACAATTTTTGGGCTAAAGATCATGGCTTGCACATTCACGTGCCAAACATAATCACGACTATACAATGAGTGGTAATAGGGACCCAATATTGCGCGTCCGACGTTGAGTGGATCCGTTTGGGGTGCGATTTTTGAGGGAGCTACTCAACGAATCTGTTCTTGCTGCAAAAAGTTGCGGCTCGAAACCTTGCCTGCGACTCGTTCTGTGAATTTCATTACACACACACACACACACACACACACACACACACACACACACACACACACACACACACACACACACACACACACACACACACACACACACACACACACACACACACACACACACACACACACACACACACACACACACACACACACACACACACACACACACACACACACACACACACACACACACACACACACACACACACACACACACACACACACACACACACACACACACACACACACACACACACACACACACACACACACACACACACACACACACACACACACACACACACACACACACACACACACACACACACACACACACACACACACACACACACACACACACACACACACACACACACACACACACACACACACACACACACACACACACACACACACACACACACACACACACACACACACACACACACACACACACACACACACACACACACACACACACACACACACACACACACACACACACACACACATACACACACACACACACACACACACAC